TGCTGCTGCTGCTCCCAAAGATGCTCTTCCTGAAGCCCTGGGGGAGCAGACCCGGAGGCCCTCTCCTCAGCCTGGAGACAGCCGGCTCCACAGCCCCCCGAGACGGAGTCCACTCCAGGGCACGTCGCCAGCGAGGTGCCCTCTGTGGGCCCACGGGATGCAGTTTTCTTTAGTCTTCCTCACCCCATCTTCCAGGTGCAGACCCAGATGTCTAGGGCAGTCAGGTCCTGTCCAAGGCAGGCATCCCAAGCAGTGGCACGCCAAGGCCTCCAGCCCCCGCGCGGCCTGCCTGTGCAGAAAAGCACCTTATACAGGTGTATATGGTGGCGCAAGACCCGAAGGGATCACCCATGGGCTCCCTCTGTCTGAATCCCGGCTCTGCTGCTTCCTGGCTGTGCGCCTGGCGTCAGTCACTTTCCCTCTCTGTGCTTGTTTTGTCATCTAAAGTAAGGGCAACCGTACCCACTTTGTGGGGTTGTTACAGACATTAGATGAGCTATTATGCATGCACCTCCCGTATGTGCAAATGAAATGCATGCACGTGCTATGTCCATGGCATCACATGTATTTATATTTAAGAGCATTTAGCAAAGCTAACCTAAGCCCCTCTCTGTTGCACCTGATTATATTATTTCCCTCAAAATCTGGCAGATAAATGAATGGGGACATATCACCAACTCATGATCTTCAGCCGTGGACCCCGTGGCTGGCTCAGGACTTGGTGTGGACCACAGAAACTCACCTTCTGAGGCCACGTCCAAAGACAGAAAAGACCCAAATCCCAGGACTGGAGATGTTCTCTTAGCCTGACAAGCCCATGCCCCTAAAGGCTCAGCCTGCTGGTTCGGGGTTGGAAAGCAAGTTCTGGGCCGTTGGATACATGACAACAGTGCCATTATCACAAGGACTTGAGAAGACAGGTTCCTGTTAAGTGACGGTGCAAACCAACGCAGAGCCCGCAGCAGGCGCTAAGGGAGCAGCTTATCACCCAGTCGGAGCAAAATACTGGCCAGAGCAGATCAACACCATTAACGACGTCCCCCTTTCCTCCAACACCTACGCACCCCATCTTACCAAGACCCAGGAAACAGTGTAATCAACTCCATACTCTATTTCAAACCAGGGGCATGTACCCAAAGAGAAGTGGAACCACGGGCCATCTCTGGGCCCTGCTCAGAGTGATATGCCTGAGCCCTGACGCAAAGGCCATGGGGACAGGATTGCCCTTCAATGGGACACACCCTGGAAAGGTCGATCCCCAAGCCCCAAAGGACACAGAGGCAGCAGGACAGTGACTCCCTGGAATACTGCCCTAGAACCCTTCCCGGGATGCTGCACGACTGACCGTCAGTCCACAGACGTGCCTGGGGGGGATGCAGGAACGATGGATGGTGTTGTGCAGAAAAGGACCCTCGATGACATGCATCCAACACTTGCTCGCTGGAATGAATTGAGCAGGCAAAGCCCTCAGAAAACACAGGAGCAAAGAGCACACCAATTAGACACCACCTCATAACAGAGGGGCTGCTTCTCACCACCGCTGTAAAGTAACTGAAACTAATCAAAACACACACAGCCCCGTTCAATGGAGTTAATACACGTACGGCAGGCTGGGAATCAGGGAGAGGAACTACTCCCAGAAGGAAAACTGGAAACGGGACCCACGCTTCAGGGCCTCCTAGCTCCTCCAGTTCTCAGAGGTCTCGTGCAGAATCACAGCAAATGCCCACATCCACTCTATGGGGCCGGACCAGGGAAGCCAGGCTGAGCCAAGACGCAAGCATCTTGAAGGGCTTTCCAAAGTCAGAGATGACCATGCTGGTTCCCCCTCCAGCAACGTACGAAGCAAAACATGCGACACAGCACAGGCGGACATGTGTTTTTTATTTTGGAACAGTCTCGACGCTTCTCATTACATCTCATCATTTTCATGGGGAGAGGAAGCCAGAGAACGTGGGCATCCTGCCTCCCCCTCAGGGGCATGGTAAGTGGCAAGGCAACAAGACCCCTTCTGCCCGGGGTGGCATCCTGGCCAACAGCCCTTCTNTCTCTGGAGAGGAAGCCAGAGAACGTGGGCATCCTGCCTCCCCCTCAGGGGCATGGTAAGTGGCAAGGCAACAAGACCCCTTCTGCCCGGGGTGGCATCCTGGCCAACAGCCCTTCTGGCCGTGTTCAGCTCAAGGGGAGGCCTCCATGGAATGGCCGTGATTCCCAACATGGCCAGAAAACCCATCGATGCCACTCATGGGGCAGATGATCAGAGGAGCTGCGCTCTTCCCTCCTGAGTAACTCAGGCTGAAGTAGGGCCGGACGGGCCCACAGAAGGTGGCGTGAGAGAACGTAAAGGTGTGACACCTCTCTGTCACGTTGTAGAAGGAGACCTCACCAGCATCGTAGTCCAAGAAAATCCCCACCCGCTGGAGGGGGGTCCGCAGGGGAAGGGCAGTCATCGGGGAGGTCAGAGCCCAGTACTCCTTCCCATACCACAAGGACACCGCCCAGAATCCATTCTGGGGGGCGGAGGTCACCCCACCTTTTCTGCACACTGAGTCTTCACAGACACCTATGGTCCACTTGGCTTTATCTCCCACCTCGACCTCCCAGTAATGCCTCCCGGCGATGAAGCACGGAGAGCCCAAGACACAGGGAAACAGGTTGAAGCGCTCGGGGTTGTCGGGCAGGTCCTGCTGGAGGTAACTGTACCGCACTTGCCGCAGGTTGTCAGAGAGGATCAGGCTGGGGTAGGCCGTGTCTGGGTCCAGCGTCACATCCACTGCAGAGACACAGGGGGAGGGAGGGCGAGCTGAGGGCGGGAGGGCCACTCTGCAACACCCAGCGTCTCTCCTGCCTGCCTGACAAGAGAGTAAGAGCTACCACTGCAGGCTGCACTCATGTTGTGATGAAGTACATCTTGAATTTAACATTCAAAAAATGACTGTTTGCATTAGCTGGTTACCTTTTTAAGCTAGGATATATTGAAAATATTGAAAATTTTACCTCAATTCCCTTTCACATCGTAAGCCACAATACCCATTATAAACTGAATTTCCCATGTACATTCAGAGTTTTAGAACCGTGGATCAAAGGAACTGGGAAGGAACTGGGAAGCTGTAACAACTGGCCCATCTTCCAGTTCACTTTCATATCCTCCATCCCATGGGATCTGGACTCAGCATGTCTAAACCCCACTCTCCTAACGTCCGGTACAGGACCCACATCTTCCTCAAAAAGTTATTTTTAACCAGCCCAAGCTATTTACACGTTCCCTCTCTTAAATTTAAAATGGTGCGTCACCCGGCCAGCATGGCTCAGCAGTTGAGCGTCGACCTAGGATCCAGGAGATGGAGGTTCGAGTCCCGGTCAGGGCACAGGCCCGGGATCCGGGCTGGCTCCCAGCAGGGGGCGTGCAGGAGGCAGGTCAGTGATGACTCTCTCATCACTGATGTTTCTATGTCTCTCTCCTTCCTACTCTCTGAAATTGATAAAAACATAAAATAGTGCGTCACCATGCACTGCACTCTGGCATTTAGTGTTAGGGCACCTTCCAGTCACGTGGCTCTCCCTGCTTTATAAGCACGGGTACATCTTCTCTCACTTGCTCTTCCTACTTTGTTCAGGAGGAAGATTCCCAAACGTTATCCCTCCAAACCAAAGCTCAGGTGCGCTACATGAATCGCACAAAAGGTTCACGACAGGCAGCTTGGCAGAGGTGACCAAGGCCCCAGATGGTCAGTTCTTGCTTCAGCCATCCACCCACAACAGTCACCTACTTCTTCCTCACGCCATGGCTACACTTCATACCTCCAACCAGGCACTCGGCTCCAAGGATAGGTCGGTGTCTTATGCTCCTTTGTTCCTCCTGCAGTCCCCCGCACAAAGTTAGACAGTGCAGGACATAAACGAGATATTCACTTAACACTTGTTGAAAGAATTAAACATGGACCACAGCAGCCAGTGAATGCCGATGAAAGAAGGCCTGTTGTACGTGGAGTCCCTCCCCTCAGAGAGGATTCCCCGCCACAGAAGGTGGCCACGTGACTATGGAAAGTGCACCTCAGATTTGAGCACCTCTGAGAACACAGATTCACCCTGTCTCCCTGAACATTAGGGAAGGGGATGGTCTAGGGGAGGGGGAGTTTCAACTCCTACCCCCAGGCACGGAGATGGGACACAGGATTCCTAGGCTCTCCCTAGCACTCTGAACTCAAATCACCCTTTGGAAGGACGACTGCTTTTCACAAACCACACACCGCCCTGTGACTGCGGCAGAGCAGTGCGTGGTGCGCTGGTGGTGCTCCACACTTTGGGAACCGCAGTTTCACTCTGTAATTCTTCATAGCACCTGAGCCTGACTTCTCCCATTTTAAAGGTGCAATGATTTTTTAAATGGTAATCATTTGTACATGTGTAACCTAAAGGATCCCAAATCAAGCAATTTCTAAAATTCAATAGTAGTTACGTTTATAAGGACTTGTACTCCTTCCCCTGTATGGTTTTTCTATCACCCACCTGAGTATAATTGAGCTTCTCTTAATTCTGAAAGAACAAAAGAGAAAAGTTATGAAGTCAGATAAGTATTTCCAGGGCACACCCACCTGAGAGCACTTCGGTTAGTCATGATAAAGCAGTGGTCTCCACAGAGGCCTTGTTCAGTCACACACCGATTTTTCATACAGTATATGATTCCGTCACCCAGCTTTAAGGAAGGGGGACTGGGAACTTCGGGTGAAAGGATAACCACATGCCCAGCACTGGTACCTATGGGGTCAAACTGAGCCAAGACCAAGGATCCTGCCCTCCAGCGTGCCAGCTGGGTCTGCAAGGAGAAGCGCGGCTCTAGAACCACGTCACACACGGCTCGGCCTTCCTGGGCCACAGCTGTTCCAGGGGCAGGGCCACCTGACTGACACCTACTACCCACTGGGACAATGACATTCACTTAAAAGGCACTGCAGAGCTGACCAGTGTTCACACAGACTATGTTCACAGCAAGCCTTTTAAGCGGCAGGAGTAAACACGAGCCAGATCAAGGAGGCCATGTCTGCACTAGAGGCTTCTGGCGTTATCCACTGTACTAAGTGAAACTTCTCCGTTTGTTTTGCTATGGACATGTGAGTGTCCCCTAAATCCACCCTGGTATGTATATGACAAGATATGATGCAAATATTCAGCATACGTAACATAGAAAATTATCAGATGTTACGGGGAACTGTAATCTGCAATAAATAATAAACAAGTTTACCTATATATAAAGATTTCAGATTCAACCAGACTGCCTAGAAATCCTGACATTTAATGTACGGTGTCCCCCAAAAAATGTATACATACACTCTGCATAATTATAAAGGCAGTGTTTATTAAAATACATTTCATTTTCAAAACTGAGCTATGAGCTGTTAAGGTGCATACATTTTTGGAGGGATACCCCGTATACAGCCAGATCCTAACTGAATGCGGCAAATGAAGAGAAAACTTTATACTTGAAAGTTTTCCTTAAATATCCAAAACACTTTATTTAACAAACATAAGTATAGGGTTTATGATGAGTCAGGCTTCACTCTAAAAGATTCAAAATGGCACCTAATCTAATTTAATCTTCACAACCTTGTGAGGCGAGAACTATTATTTTCCTTATTTCGCAGATGAAGAAATTACAAACATACCTCGTTTTACCGTGCTTTGCAGATACTGTGGTTTTTCTACACACTGAAGGCAACACCCCCCAGAGGCAAAGAGGCTCAGATGATGGGGAGCATTTTTTAACAATAAAGTATTTTTAGATTAAGCAAGGTGTGCACATTGGTCTTTGTTTTGTTTTTTAGACATAATGCTATTAAACACCTAATAGACGGTATAGTGTAAACATAACTTTTATACGCTCTGGGACACCAGAACACTAGTGTGACTCGCTTTATTGCAAAACTCACTTACTGTGTTGGCCTGGACCCAAACCTGCAGTACCTCCGAGCTATGCCCACACGGTGCAGAACCCCCGAGGCAGCGCTGGGCCCGGGGCCCTGGCCCTCACTCCCGAACCCCACTCCTCACCACTTCCCCCAGGGTGCTGACTCCTACACTGGGCAGCAGCTATGCCCACAAGTAGTAGAAACTCTGTAAATTGCAACTATAAATACTAGGTCAGATGAAACACAACTAGGATAGTTTCTGTTCACTCCCTTTCCCAATTAAAGAATAAAAATAAAATTCTTTTATTTTTTTATAAAAATAAAGAATAAAAAATAAAAAGCCGGAATCCGGCTTGATTCTGGACTATTTGTCTCCTCCGCCAGTGCAGACTGAGAACTGGGTGCAGGTAATCAAAAGACTTCAGAGTGAAACAAGAGAATATTAACTGAAAAAAATTAACAAAGCAAAAAGGAAGGTGTAAAATACCCAGGACGGCTGGCCAGTGGGTACCTATCACCCCTGCCCCATCTCCCCACACTCTTAATGCAGGGGTTCGATCTCCCAGGAAACTTCAAAGGCCCATTAGGTAGATAACTTTACCTTGGATTTTCTCCATATCTGACTGCATTTTTTCTAAGGGGAAAAAAGAAGACAATCAGTTTGCATCCCATTACCTGGCTGGAAGATGTTTCCTGTCAGGCAACACAGATATTCCGAGCACAAATCCATTCCCCTCACAGATCCCTCTTTTCACATTACCTGTGAACTGCTTCAGACTTTCAGTCATAAACAGACATTTTTGGGCAAAAATATGGATTTTCTCTTGCAGATCTGGAGGTGTGATCCAAGGTTCAGGGATCCTAATTCTTTCAGCCCTAAATAAATAAATAAAATTAAATTAAAAACACACACACACAAAAGGGGAGACATCTTCCTCATTTTTTTAATCCCCCAAAGCATACAGCTCATGGCTGTTCGAAAGGTTTACGGAACTAGACTGATGTTACGGCCAGCAAGCACTGGCAGAGTCCTAGATGTTCATGGTGGGCGATGACCCAGAATTCTCAGGTTCCCAAGTGCGGTGAGAATGACACTCCGACAGATGGGTACTCTCTGGACAACAGCCAACTACCACACCCTTCAAAGGGTCTATGGCCAAGCTGATTGCCAACTGCCTACCCACAGCTACCCCTGTGCCTCTGTTACCCAGACTTTATTGGGTTTGTAGCTGCCCAGTCTGGATGTGACCTTGCGACAGAGTCTGGCCAGTAAGAGGTTAAGTATCGTGTTAATTTAAGAACTCTGCTTAAAAAGAAATGTGATGTGACTTATTTCCTTCCTGCTGGCTGGCATTCTAGCAACTATCGTGGACCATAAGAATGAGGACCACACCTTAGGGTGGCGGAGGAGGGAATGGAAAGAACCTGAGAACCTGATGCACACTGGAGCCACCATACTGGTCCTGGGCACACTTCTTACACAGTGACACAATGTTTTATTGTTTAATCCTGAAGCCAATGAAATTTTCAGTTTCCTATCCCATACAGACAAACCCAAACCTTAATGGCACAAACACTAGGATCTCAGGTTAGGCCAGAACTAGACTGGCACCAAACAGTCAAAGTAACAAGAAAGGTAGCATTCCCTGGGGTCAGCTGGCTAGATAACTTTATCTACAAGTATCAACTCATCTCCCTCCAGGGCCCTCAAGAAACAAGTCTATTGCCCTGGCAGGTAGAGCATCATCTCGATACACCAAGGCTATGGGTTCGAGACCTACAAGAGGCAACCAATGAATGCATCAATAAGTAGAACAACAAATCAACGTTTCTGTCCCCCACCATTCCTTTCTTTTTCCAAAAATAAAAAATACATCAAGTCAGCTATATAAATTGTGAAATATAATTTCAAAATTGTATAAAAACACTAATTCTTCCTTGAAATAAAAAATGAAACATGTCAGCCCCGGCTAGTCTTGCTCAGTGGCTAGAGCATTGGTCTGAGGACTGATGGGTCCTGGGTTCAATTCCGGCCAAGGGCATCTAACTCGGTTGCAGGCTTGATCTTGTGGCCCTCAGGGCTGTGTGGGAGGCAACCAGTAGATGTGCCCTTCCACTCTCTCTGAAAAGCAATGGAAAAAAATATCCTTGCCCGGCCGGGCGTGGCTCAGAGGTTAAGCGTCAGCCTAGGATCCAGGCAATCAGGGTTCGATTCCCGGTCAGGGCACATGCCCAGTTGTGGGCTTGATCAATGACTCTCTCCTCACTGATGTTTCTGTCTCTCTCTCTCTCCCTCTTCTTTCCTCTCTCTGAAATCAATGAAGATATATTTTTAAAAAAAGAAAAAAATATCCTCGGGTGAGGATTTTTAAAAAAACGAGAAAAAAACATATCAAATAAAAAGAAAAAAAAGGAAGGAAGAAACAATTCTATCACGATTCCATCCACACAGACCCGAGGCGGGCACGGCATCCGCGAGGCCCTCCCCCACCTCCTCTTATGTGCCCACATCATCCAGGAGAACTTCCCCTGGAGGGTTTCCTCTGCTCAGGATGTTGTTTTTTTTAAATATATCTTTATTGATTTCAGAGAGAGGAAGGGAGAGGGAGAGAGACAGAGAAACACCAATGATGAGAGTCATTGATCGGCTGCCTCCTGCACGCCCCCGACTGGGGATCGAGCCTACAACCCGGGCCCCGACTAGGAATCAGACCACGATCTCCTGGATCCTAGGTCGATGCTCAAACCCTGAGCCACGCCAGCCGGGCCACTCAGGATTTCAATCCGCGTCAAACTTCAGCTCCCTCAAAGTGAGTTCTGCCCTGTAGGCACTCCACCAAGCACTGTGCCCAGGCCCATCTGGCTCACCCTGGCCATCTGCCTGCAAACACAACTTGGCTTTGGCTTCTTGCCCACTCACTGCCAGGGCTCCCTGCCAGGTCCCGTTCCAACACCAGGGAGCACTTTCTCACTCACTTTCTGCCTGATGCTACTGTACAGAAATAACAGGAGCAAGAGCCAGAACCCTGGTGTCTCATCATTAATTATATAACTAAGCTGGTCACACCTTTTCAGGCCACACTTTCCCCACTACAGGGAGAGAGAAAGAACGAGTGAGAAGGGCTCTGGATGTCTCGGAAGCAATGACCACAAGCCACCCTTGCGCTCTGCCCAGGTCCTTGCAAGCCCCACCCTCCCCGTGGAAATGCCCTCATAAACCACTAGCACCCTCCCGAGGGAGCCCCCACTCCGCCCCCACCCCACAACCTGTCGCCAACTGCTGAGTTTTAGCGAGAAGCTGCAGCCTGTCCAGCTCCTCGAGCCCTAGTTCCCGTTCGAGGACGGGCCGTGCGGTGACCACCGGGAAGGGGCCATCGCTGGCTCTGGGCTCCTTCCAGGGTTTGTAAGCATGAGGAAGACAGCCTTCCGCTGCGCGACTTAGCGCCGGGAGAGGGAACCGTACCTGCTCAGTGTGTCCCCGATGTCCTGTAAGAGAAGGGAAAGGACGCCTGAGGAGCCATCCCGAGCTTCAGTCTCCTCTCCCAGGCTCCGCGGAAGCCCCCAGGGGCGGCCCCCTGGAGAGCCCGGGAGGCAGGCCCGCCCCCAGCGAGAAGCCGGGCACCCGCCCCGCGCAGCGCTGCTCAGCGCCTCGGGCATCAGACTGCCTCCTGAGCATCCCACCCGCACACCACGCCCCAGGCTGCTGCCTTCGACTTTCTACTGTGAAGGATTTCAAATGCGCAGAGGAGCTGCCGGTCCGAGCGCTCCGGTCTACCCCACCCGATGTGGCAGGTGGCGATGAACGTGTTCGCCCTAGGACGTTTCCAGCCACCGCTTCCATTACCCCCCTGCCCCTTTACACTTCTGTGTGCATTTCCTAAGCATATTTTTTTTGAAATTCATCTTTTTTGTTGAAAGTATTATAGATGCCCCATTTTCCCCCACTGACCCCTCTAAGTACATTCTTCTGTTACTACAATATAGTTATCAAACTAAGGACACTGAGCGGTGATGTTTATCAGATCCAAACTGCATATTCTAATTTAACCAACTGTCTTAATACTGTTCTTTACAGCGACTCCTCTCCCCTAAAGTAATCCAGGACCATCCACTGCACTTAGTTATGACGACGTGTCCTAATCTCCTACAGTTCCTTAGCACTGACTTACCTGCCGTGACAGACATGGGTTTATTTTACAGAATACCCTCCCGTCAGGGCTTGCAGGTATTCCCCTCATGGTTAAATTCAGAAGACACAGCCTCTGGCTAGTGTAAGTTGTGTCCTAAAGGTGCACAATATTTACTTTCCCCCATTAGTAAATTTTCATCACTATACAGCTACTATTTTTCTTTGTGTAATTAATAAGTAACCTAAAAGTGATATTTTGAATTAACTTTCATTGTGGTGGTTGCCAGCTGGTCACTTTCTCTTCCTTCTATATCACTCAGTCGACATTCTACTGGAAGAGAGAATTTTCCCTTCTTATGTATTATGGGTGTGGACTGATAGATTCTTCCGTTACTGACGGAGTTATAACCCATCCCAATTCTGATTTACTTTGGTGCTCAAAAATCTGTCATTCTTTTTNTGGAGTTATAACCCATCCCGATTCTGATTTACTTTGGTGCTCAAAAATCTGTCATTCTTTTTCCCACCCATTCTCCGCATCCCCATATTTTCTGGGTCACCCTTCCAGTATTTGCTTTGCAAAAATAAGCCAAAATGTGTATTTTCCAATGATTTCCTTTCTTAGACAAAGAGTCGCAAACTCTCCATTTTGCACTTTGGTTTTTTTTCACTTAAGACTCTACCCCGGCAGTCACTCTGTTCACAGGTGCCCGACGTGCTCTTCACGGCTGCATAGCATTCCTGTGTGCCAGTAACCGACTCAACCACCGCGGCAAACGTCCAGGGCGGGCATTCCCCACGGGCACGCAGTCATCCTGTGTGCCAGTAACCGACTCAACCACCGCGGCAAACGTCCAGAGCGGGCATTCCCCACGGGCACGGCAGTCGGTGGCTGCCAGGTTTCCTTTTGGTGATCCAAGTGGTCGAGAACTAGACAGTTGTGATGGCTGCCCAACTCTGTGAGTTTACTAAATGCTACAGAGTTGTACACTTTGAAATGGCTGAAATAGCGAATTTATATTAAGTATGTCTTATCTCAAAAAAAACCCTGACGTCCAATCTTTCAAAGCCCTCATCCTGAGTCCCCTGTGCCTGTCCCGGGCAGCCATGGTCTGAGAAGGCAGAGCAGGCGGGGCCGACTGCTCCCGGGTCAGCCCCAAGTTCACTGACCAANGTGGAGTTGTACACTTTGAAATGGCTGAAATAGCGAATTTATATTAAGTATGTCTTATCTCAAAAAAAACCCTGACGTCCAATCTTTCAAAGCCCTCATCCTGAGTCCCCTGTGCCTGTCCCGGGCAGCCATGGTCTGAGAAGGCAGAGCAGGCGGGGCCGACTGCTCCCGGGTCAGCCCCAAGTTCACTGACCAAGGACTATGTCTCAGAAACTAACTGGCTTTACTGTGAAACAATAATTTCAGAACTTTCCACATTCTTCAAAGCTCGTATTTCCCTAGCTCCTGGGAAGCAGAGACGATCCCACTTTCCAGCCTCGACAGAGAATGAAGGCCAGCAGGTTTTCTGTAACCGCGCGGCCTCCCTGCACCTACCTCCCCTGGCCCTCCTTTCTTCCCACACTACAGAGGATCTTCCAAAACCAACTCCCACACACAAGCTTTAGTTCCCGCTCCCGCTGCCTTCTCAGGAACAACACCCCAGTGACGAGTCCACGCCCGTTACAGCTCCAGTGACTTTCCTCACCTCATTCCTTACAACCTACTCTCCCCTGCACACGCCTTTACAATGTGTGACGCGCTTCCTTAAGCTGCCTTCCCACGAAGCCCCACAGCCCCACCTCGTCTCCAAGTATTTCCTTACATCCCCTTCAGTCTCCCTTCTGGAAACAGCCATCTACTCTTGTAGTCTCCACTCACCACACTGTCCCCACCACTCTCCCTAACAGGCTCCTGCCCAAACTGTCCCTGTGGCAACTCCAAGCAGGTCACAGTGGCCACACCTGGAAACCGTGGATGCTAGCCTTCTACCATTTCGCCTACACCCTGCTGTCCACTCCCTTCTTCCTGAAACACCTCCTTCCCGATTATGCTCTGCCTCTGTGGTCACCTGTTCCCCTTGCAAGCCCTTCCTTCTCTCCCTGGCAATGAAATACTGGTGTTCATAGAGGCTCAAAGGAGGCCCTCTTCTCCCATTTTTCTAAAGCAGGAGTTGGTAAACTTTTTTTAAAGGCTAGTCTGTCACAACTACTCAACTCTGCTGTTATAGTAGAAAAGTAACAATAGACACTACATCATAAATACACATGGGTATGTTCCAATATAATGTATGGATAATGAAATGTGAATTTTATATATTTTCACACACATGAAGTGACACTGTCCTGATTTTTTCCAACCACTTTAATATGTAAAAACTCCACTTACCTCACAGGACATACAAAAACAGGTGGTGGGTCATAGCTTTTAATGGCATTTGCCAACATCCATAACACTTGTTCGCTTCTTTATTGTATGATCTCAACATTAGAACATAAGTTTCAGGCAGCGTATCCACCACTTAGTCTCAGTGCCTAGAACATGCCCAGCACAGAGCAGACCATTCATGTGCTGGATGAACCATGAGACCGGCATCACTCCTGCCCCATGGTCTTGCTGGGAGAGGCCACTGCAGCTTCTCCCCTGCACTGCGACTGTGCAGGCGGGCATGCGTGCATGCCTGTCGTTTAGAAAAGGGAGACAGCCAGCAGGAAGCACCTGGGCAGGTGCTCCAGACTTACCTGCAGGAGCTCCCTGGTGGGCTGCTGCTGCTTCTCTTCCAGCTGGGCGATCAGGCTGCTGAGCTGAGAGATGTTGCAGGAGAACTGGGTGATGGCACCGTTGATGCTGTTATAGATGGCCAAGTCTAGCTCCTCAAGGCGGGCCAAAAGGCGGTACTCATGCTCCTTCAAGGCGTGATACAGCTGCTCAAACTCCCAAATGATCTTCTCCCTCTCCATCTGGGTCAGGCTCTGTGCACACAGGGAGGGGCCGTGAGGAGGGCAGGTTCACTTCCACAGCCCTTCCCATCTCTCCCCACTACCCACCCCAAGACCACATCATTGCATCTAGATGACTGAAACAAGTAGCTCACCCTGGCCGGGAAGCTCAGTTGGTTAGAGAGTTGTCCCAATACACCAAGGTTGCAGGTTCGATCCCTGGTCAGGGCACATATAAGACTCAACCAATGATGCATCATTAAGTGGAACAACAAATCCATGTCTCTGTCTCTCTCCCTTCCTCTCTCTAAAAATTAACAAATAAAATGGTTTAAAAATAAATAAAACGAGTATCTTGTTCACTCACTCGTGTTTTCCCATCTTTACTGACTGGATATATAATGTCCAAGAACTGAATTACAATTAAGATGCAGCAGCTGCCCTCAGGAACTCAGTCAGGTGAGTTGGGTTTGTTCTATACATGGGGTGATGGTTATGGTGGGAGAATTTGGTATCGTCTGCACAAAAGTAGTGTTCAGAGCATCTCGTAGGATGAACGGAGCTCACCATGTGGTCTAAGACCAGGAGAGCTTTCTGGGCAGAAGAAATGGTACAGGCAAAGGTGTGGGGGAGAAGGCAGTTGGCTCCATCTAGATGCAGCAACACGAGCGTTGAGGGCAGAGGCCAGAGAGAGACCAGCACATGCCCTCTGGGCAGGCTAGGAGGCAAGGGCTTTACTGCAACGGGGAGCCGTGGACGGCTGCTGGGGAAGTGGCATGGTCAGGTAAGTGCCCAGTGGAGGACGGTCTGCAACATTCAAACACAGCTTCTACAGCCATCCTCACACAGTAACCGACGCGCTTCCTTAGGCCCTCCACTGTGATCTGCGCCCTGCAGCTGACCTTCACGGTTCACTGGTGCAGGTTTATTCACCAAAGTTTCCATGCCCTTCCTTCTCTACCGACAGGGCCCTATTAATGCTCTGTTCTAAACAAAGGGTGGTGAGCAAACTCCCTTTGTTTATTCCCTTGGAGTCAAGTTACGTTGGGACATAGCCACACTCATCATTTACATCTTGTCATCTTGTCTGTAGCAGCTTCTGAGCTACAACAGCAGAGCTGAGTAGTTGTAACATGACATGGCTCGAAAAGCGAAAAATATTCACTACCTGGTCCTTTAGGGAAAGCTTGTTGACCCATTCAAATTCAACGCCTGAGAACCCTCCCCCTCTAACCCCCCTTCTTAAGCACTCACTGTGCAGCACAGCAGTGCACACACACCTTTGTTTGTAAGTCCGTTTTAGGCCCATACCTCTCCTCAGCTCCGTAGGTCCAAAATATAAACAATACAATATAATTTTAGAAATGGAAAATTAAAGCTGAAAGACCTTAAAGATCAACTAATTCAGTGCTTCTCAAAGGGGATGCTATTGGCACCCTGATGAGGGGCGGGGGGAATTCTGCCTGGCACGGGGCCACTTCTAGATTGCAGGATAGTTAGCATCCCCGCCCCACCCTTCCCAGTCACCAGATTCCTCAAGTGACACACATACACCATGGGAGGAAAGGAGAGCGTAGTATTACTAGCTTTGCTGAAGAACAAGTCTAGCCTAATGTACCTATTTCCCATATGAGAAAACTGAGGCCCCAAGAGGCTGTATTGCTCTCTCCATCTAGCCAACTGGCTGTCAGAGTCAAGAAAGTGTTCAGTTACCCTATCAGGGAAGGGCTGTCTCCCCTCTTTGACTTCTCCCACAGAGGACAAGTTAATGTGGGTAGTAACTTGACTCCACGCCAGCTCACCAGAAGATTCTCCATCCATCAAACCTATTTTCAAGAAAGGGGAGCTGAGGTCTCAAAGGATTGTGTGGGCAGAACAAGTGGTGGCATCTAGGGCTTCATGGGAGTAAGTTCCCTGTCCAAAGATCTTTGCTACACCCTGGCCAGGACTGACAAAGATTTCTCACAAGATGGTGTTAGACACTACCTCTAACAGTTTGCTTCTCACATCCAAATACCTGTAATGGGTGGGAATTTTTAATATTTTATTTGTTGTTCAAAAAAAATGCTTAAAAGCCTAGATGGTTAACTTTTAAGTATATATTATATAAAAGTCTCTGTACTTTTTTTTTTTTTTTGGTTTTCAAAACAAAAACCCCAAGTATCCCTATCACAAAGTAGCACATCAGTCACTCGCTGAGGCCTTGGGAGACTAGGGTAAGGAAACAAAGGTTCAGAACTGAAGTCAAGAAAGTAAGCACTCCAACAAGAAACAACAGCAGGGCCTACACAAACCCACTGTTAGCATCTGTCTGCAGAGAGCACCAAAGGAGTCTGAATGCCCAACAACTTTACCAAGTCAACTTTGTCAAGAGGTCAACCCTGATCTACAGGAAGCTAGAAGGTTAAACTTTTTTAAAAATACATATTTTTTAATTGATTTTAGAGAAAGAAGAAGAGAGAGGGAGAGAAAAACATCAATGTGAGAGCACAACATCGATCAGCTACCTCCTGCACTCCTCTCACTGGGAATCGAGCCTGCGTATGTGCCCTGGCCAGGAACTGAACCAGCAACCTTTCAGTGCAAGGGACCATACTCAACCAACTGAGCCACACTGGCCAGGGCTATAAGGTTAAACTTTTGATAGGTCAGATCTCCAGGGGTTCCAACCACCACATGGCATTGTTCCACCTTCACCTAGAAGCCTGAGTGACTTGGCTGGACAAGGTTAAGGAAATAATATCAGCCTTACAAAATTGAAGGTAATCAGCAGAAGTGATATTGAGGCAGGATAGTAAGAAGCTAGGAAAATTCCTTGGCAAGGAGAATGGGGAAGCTGAGACAGCTGAAAAACTGTCTGAGCAATTTACAGCAGATACAGAGGGGCACCTCCCTAGGCCTCAGTTGTATTGCAGATCCAGGCCCAGAAAAACAGTAAAACCAGGTGGGTGACTTCAGGACCAGCTGCAATGACCAATGGCCCCCTGCCCTGGCACTGACCCATCAGTAGAGACCACGGCCCTGAAAGAGCACACCTGGAAAACATGCATATTCTGCCAAAAAGGTCCCCTGAGACCTTCCCTATAATTCCCGCCTGCAAGAAAGAGATAAAAACCCTCAAGACAAAAGACCGGTTGTGGGCTCTCCCTCTGGGGAGCACACCCTCGCCTCCCCCTCCCCCACAGGCAACCAGGGGAGCAACCGGCAGCAGCCACTCTCAGTGAATCCCAAAGACCCTTACCAAGAGTTCAGCTCGCGCCTGCTCCCCCTGTGCCCGGCGCCTCTTCTTTAAGTCTTTCACTCTTTTTAGGTGGTCCAGCTGGTTCTGGATTTGCTCCTAAGAAAAGCAAAAATCGTTGGGCGGGTCAAGATTAGGCAGACCTTGGCATCAGCATGGCGACTTGGCTCATCACAGACGCAGCCCACGTTTCTGACGCGGAGGTGGGGTTAGCGCCGCCCGCCGGCACCGCCGCCAGGGGGCGCAGGGGCTGCGCGCCCCTCCACAGGGACTCAGCCACCCGCGCCTGGAAGGACGCGCGGGGCCCAAGGCAGCATTTTCAACGTGTTTCATCTCACCGCACACATGAACTAAATACTAAAATTCTGCAACACACCAAAAAAAGTACTATTTTTGCCGATCTGACAAAAATAAAGGTATAATTTTGATCCCTTTACATCAGTCGGCTATTGTTGCGTGGGCGGTTGTCACTTCTCGGTTAGAGGTCAGCGCCCTCGACGGGACAGTCAGGCCCCGCGTCTGAAGGGCTCCGGCGCGGCACGGGCGCAGGGCCTGGCCTGGCGGGGACGCGGGACGGGCCGCGGGCTGCGGTTACGCCGCCGTCCCACCGGGCCTGGGAACCGCACTGCTCCCCCGCGCTCCGCTGGCTGCGGGACCCGCAGGCCGTCCTCTCCGTCACTTAATCTTCGTAACAACCGCTACCTCCTAGGCGCCTGGTGGCCACGTAACTTAAGCCGCCGACGGTTCTGTGCCTCTCCTTGAGCTTCTAGAACAGAAGGGCGCAGGGAAGGGCCGGGAAGGGCTGCTGGCGCAGGCGGCGGGTACCGGCCGAGCACCGCGGGTTCTGGGACCCCCTGGGAGCCAGCGGCTTGCGAGCACCGCCGAGCTCGTGGGCAGGTGCGTGGTTTCCCGAGCACCTTCCCACCGCGGGCCCCGGCCGCCTTTCCGCGCAGCGTCCGTGGGCGGGAGGCCTGGGCACCGCGGCAAGGAGTGGGGCGGCCACGCGCG